ATAGAGTCTGTTGACCTCCAAAAATGGCTCAAACAGGTTTCCTAGTCTCGTCCCCTTGAAACCTGCGCAAGTAGCACCCCGTCAAGAGGCAAAGGCAGCCGAACGAGAAAAATATCCGACGACCGTTTGCACTTCGACAGTGAAGTCAACAGCTGGACGGAGATAGATATATAGAGTGCAATAGTATGGAGATGGGTAAATCCATATATATAGAGAAATGGAAGTGAAATGGGCCAAACAAGCTGATGGGCCTCGTTGGAGTCCAATAAGATGGCCCAATATGAAATGGTAATTTATAGGCGTAACAGTAGTCCCCCAAGTCCGAGTCGTATTATTTATATGCAGGTTGGACTTGAAATATAAACTGTCAAGTAGGCGAGGTCTTACAGATTGCCTCAGAAAGATGGGTAGCTCCAATAAGCGAGGACTTATGAACTGCCTCGAAAATATGCATCAATTTGGAATAGGCGAGGACTTACGAATTGCCTCGAGAAATATGAGTCGCTCCAATAAGTGAGGACCTATGAACTACCTCAGAAAATGTGTGCGAGTCAGAATAAGTGAGGACTCACGAATTGCCTCGAAAGATATACTGTATGTATTTTTTCGAAATTTCAGCAGCATCTCCTCTGTAATATGGACTAAATCAATCCTGTAATACAATACAATATATCCACAGTACATATACCAAATAAATTTGGGGTCCATTTGCCCTTTCAAATGCTCATAACTATAAGGTGTGACATATCACATTTCTCCAAGATATGTGCAAAGGGTATAGTAAATCATGTGCTCACACAGCTCAGTGTATCAATAGTGCTATAGTGAAATAAGTAACATGATGTTGACAATAAAATGAAAATGATGATAACACGATATACGTACTGGCTGTGATGAAAATAATGTATGACATGCTAGCAGTGATATGGCATTCATACTTGGAAGCATTAATGTGATGCGTATGCTAGCAGTAATATGCAGCCCCCCAAGTCCGAGTCATATTATTTATATGCGGGTCGGACTTGAAATGTAAGCTACTATAATAAAGTTGATATAGAGACGATGCTCTGAATGTAAGTAGCATAGGCGACAGGGGCGGTGCGTTGGATGCAGAGGCAATGCTCTGATTGTAGTAGCAGAGGCGATGCTCTGGATGTAGTAGCAGAAGTGATGCTCTGAACTGAATATAAGTAGTTATTCAAAGTTTTAGCCATTTTCAAAAGCGTCGTCCCCTGTGGGTCAGCGCACCGGTGGCAGATGAGCTCTTCACACAACTTTACAAATCTTCAACTCACCTGATGCGGAGTCCTCTATGGGTCATCGCCTCAATCTCTGCATTCCCTTCGGAACTTTTCAAAGCTTTAACCATCTCCCAATCCGTCGTCCCCTGTGGGTCAGCGCACCGGTGGCAAATGAGCTCTTCACCCAGCTTTACAAAGCTTCGATGCACCTGACGTGGAGTCCCTTGTGGGTCATCACCTCGATCGCTACGTTCCCTCCTAAACTGTGGGTTAGCGCACCGATGGTAGATGAGCTCTTCACCTAGCTTTACAAAGCTTTGATGTACCTGACGCGGAGTCCTCTGTGGATCATCACCTCGGTCGCTGTGTTCCCTTCTCAGCTTTTCAAATCTTTAGCCATCTCCCAATGTGTCGTTCTCCTATGGGTCAGCACCCCAGAAGCAGATCAACTCCTCCCCAATAGAATCACAACTCACAACGCCTCGGTTATCACTAAACCTATGCCAGCAAGTGTTCGGAACATCTGCTAGATGTGGCCTTTCACATCAAGACTTCATCAGAATCCACAGTCCTTACCTAAGCTTGGCATACACAATCAAGAATACAAGTCCATTCATGAATGAATATTCAAGCCTGAACTTGGGAGACTACCGTTACACCCCCTAACTGAACCACTTCGAAACATCAGGCACACTACTCCCTAAAGTGCCACGTCTCCATCCGAAGTGGTTCTGAAGTGATCCAACGACCCCCAACTTGACGCGCTGCGAGGTGTAGGGTAGATCCACTGAATCAGCCAAAGTATCCCCTGACGCCGAAGCGTTAGGCGCTCCGAGGTGATCCTTTAACAAATCTCTCCGTCGCCATTTTCAAAAAGATATCTGTGTCAAGATCCTCTCTGCCTCCAATGATTAATTAATGTGACGTCTCCATAGGTTTAGTTGATGTGACGTATCAACTTTATGTCAACTCGACTCAAAAGAATTAATTGTCCGCCCACTCTAGACGCGGCTGATTGACGCTTATGAGCGGATGCCTCACACCGTCAGATGCATACACGTGTTCCACATCCAGTAGTGCTCCATGTCTATAAATACCTAAGGTTTGGCAAGGGGGAAAGGTAATGAAACTCTCAACTTAGCTCTCCATGCTAAAAAATATACACTCTCCTCCCCACTCTCTTGCATAACTTGAGCAATGTTCCGATCATCCAACACTGACTTGACCGTCGGAGCGTATGCAGCCGTCGCCGTCCTCGCTGGTTCCGACCATGTGCTTTTGACCATGCATTGTTGTGCGCATGGAGGATTACGTGGAGTGGCTATCCATTGGCCACATAAAGGGTCCAACTCGCAAAGTCAACAGAGTCCGTAAATTCAAATCTTAGTAAATTGTTAATAACAAAGAGTTGTGATTGTAAAATACAAATTACTTATGATTAAATCTTAAATCATTAATGGTCGTAAGTAATAACGTAATATGAATATCGTTATTACGGATAGATCATCACATATGACATTTCTTACTTGAAGTAAGTAACTGATATCACGAGCTAAAGTGGATGAATACGTGAATGTTTTGTTTTAGAACAAAACATTGGAGACCCGTTGGAGAGATTCCACATGGATAACTATCTGAATTTCAATGGTTAAACTCTAACTCGGTAGTTGAATTGGTCCTTCGACTTGAGGTTACCGTAGTGCCTTATATGAGAACGGTCACACTTTAGTGATATTAGATGTCGCTCTACCAAGAATCGCTAATACGACATCACTCAGATAAGTCAAAAATCATACGAATACTGTAAATGATTAATAAAGAATCTGTCACTCTTAGATAATAAGACATTGTGTTCTACATTTCATTCAGTTAAGTTTATAACAAAATTCTTGGCAAATGTGTATTCATAAGTCGAAAAAGAGTTTTCGACTTCTATTAACTTAGTAGTAGAATGAAAGATATAATTGATAATTGATATTAACACATATACTTATCTTGCAATTGATCAGAACATATTGATAAAAATATTATAGTTTCATGAAAAATGAAAAAGTTTGATTTTGTCATACCACATTATATTTCCATCACATATATTGCCCTAACACATTACTAGATATCAATTTGAGACGATGAATGAGAATTTGTGATAAATTAAAAATAGTATTTTAATTTATCAATTTTGATTAGATTAAAATAATAATTCATATTATTAGGCATCTTGATCAGAAACATAATAGATCACACAAAAAGGAGAACTAGAAGAATGAAATTCATCAATTAATTGACAAGTGTTTGGCAATTAATTAATTGGGTTGCTTGTTAATAAGCCCGAATTGAGTTAATTAATTCATTGACCAAATTTAATTAATTGAATTAATTAAAGATTGGACCGAATTAAGTTAAGAGATGGACCAAATTTACTTGGACTTATATTCATAAGTTACTAGGGTTTGAAAAAAGGTGTTGAAAACATAATTATTCTTGCTAATACAAGAAAAGAAAACTCTAGTTCTCTCAATCTCATTCCTTCTTTGAATTTTCATTGGATGCTGGACAATTGGATAATTGTGGATTGTAGATCATGATTGTTCGTTTTACAAGATCAGCAAAGAAATTTACAGAAACTATAAAAATGTATAATTTCTATCACATTGTCTATTTAAATACAAAGCATATCTTCGATTGAAATTGAAATTATTTTATTTCTCGCTGTATATGATTAATTAGATTTCCAACATAATACTTGTCACCGGATTCTCAGTTGCATTTCAAAAATTTGGTCCGACTTTAACCGTTGACATAAGAAGACTCTTTTCTAGCTGCCAAACAAACCTGTCCCCAAGTAGAGGAACAATACTAGAATTTTCATCAATCTACATATCCGTTCCTGAAATTTCTGGATTGTGCAAGTTAGTCCCTAAAGATTCTGTTTGCGGGAAAATGGTCCCTGAATTTTCTGAATTGTGCTCAATGGCCTCTGAATTTTCATGTTATTGCAATTCAATCCCTTCCTCTCCTGAAATCTGCATTTTATCTCCTGAATTTTTTGAATTGAAAACATTGGTCTGCGTATGGTTATAGGTGTTAGTAAAATTACAATTATAAATAAAAATTTATAGTTAATTTAAGAAGTGACGTTGTAATCAATTAGGTTGAGGCACAACTTTCTTCCTTTCTTTAACAAGATTTAACCCATTTTCAGCGTTGGAAATCCTCAATCACCGGTGCGGTAGAAATTATATTTACTTGTCCCCTCTAGAATGCAACAATTTAACTGAATGTTGTGTAGTTCGATCCTTTTTATGCTGGAGGATAAACTCAAATCTCCACTATAATAATACCCTTCTTTTGACCAATATATTCCGACGTTTAGAGAGAAGATAGGAAGTTTTCCATAAAATAGTTTCTGTATGAATTTATTTCCCTTGAAATTCGTTTCTTCACCAATTTTCACCTTTTGGAGATAGTTTTTCCGATTGAAACCCTCCATCTCATGAGACAACTTAAGGCACAACTTCCTTTTTCTGTATGAACTTTGTTTTCCTTGAACTCGTTCAGTTTTTCACCCGTTTTCAATTTTTTGAGATAGTTTGTCTGATTGAAAAATCTTTGGTTGGACTTTCCAAAGGTTTTAACCCTCCTCCTTTTGATGCAACTTCCTTGACATTATTCAGTTAACTCTATAAATTCTCTACTTTCAATATCACAACTTATATTCATCTTTGAATCAATTTCTAACTGAGTGGAACTTCATTGTGTAGGTTGCAAATTATTGTCGTGACCGTATCCATTTAGCTTTAGTAGATGAGCTAAAAAATTACAAGGATGATTTGATGAATGGAAGTACTATAGACTCACGACAGGTGCACTGGGAAAAGGTCTTTACCAATTGCTTTTGCAAGGTTGATGATGAAGTTGGGGGAAAAGCAAGCCGAAACATCCCTAATGAAAGTGTGGATGAGCGTATTACAACCTTTGAAGCTGTTGCCCCTGAAACTGTTGGGTCAACTGCTGTAGTTGCAGTGGTTTGTTCATCTCATATCGTGGTTGCCAACTGCGGGGATTCGAGAGCAGTTCTTTACCGTGGTAAAGAAGCAATTGCATTATCAATTGATCATAAAGTAAGCTTGTGTTTATTTTCGATTGCTATCAGCGCCCATCCTTGTAAATGAATTCATTCTTTTCCTTTTGATTAACTTGCCAGCCAAATCGAGAAGACGAATATGCTAGAATTGAAGCTTCTGGAGGTAAAGTCATACAGTGGAATGGACACCGTGTTTTTGGCGTTCTTGCAATGTCGAGGTCCGTTGGTAAGTCAATTAATGTTTGCGGCAAAATATTTTGTCCAATTCTTGCGTTACACGTGCATATCAATGGATGTGTTTATTTTAAACATATTTATCAAAATTCGTGCTCTTTTGAAACTGAAATTGATGTGTACGAAGTTTTTTCTATTATTCTTTTGCTGTCATTAGTTGATACCAAAATGATAAAGCATTTGTCATAGGATTTTTTTATTTGGCTGGAGAATATCTATTTACGCTCTTGTTGTTGTTGTTGACGACCTGGTAGACTGCGGTGCAACTCCATAATATTATTATTAGCATCATTCTTTTACTGGTTAACTTTATTTATTCCAAGTCAAGTTGCTTATTGCTCATTTTGTATCTCCTCTTCATTTTTCACTTTTTTTCACTCACGAGCACGTGTAAGTTCCTTTTGGTTCTAAGTCACCGTGCTCATGGTTATACTATTCTGTTTAACATTTTTGTTTCTGGGGAGTATTGGCACATTTTTATACATTAACCGATCAACTACATGGGAAGAAAAAATCATCTATATTGAGAAGAAGTTGAAAAGATTCATCCAATCTTAGCTTCAATTGTTTCTTCATTTCCTGTTTTAACTTTTATTTGCATTATTGTGGACATATGACGATTGGAGGAGGAAATGTTGTTTGACATTTTAAGCTCTCCTTGGTCCTTCCTTTTCTCTCAGGTGACAGATTCTTGAAGCCATGGATTATACCAGAACCAGAAGTCATGTTTGTGCCACGGGCTCGAGAAGACGAGTGCCTCATTTTGGCAAGTGACGGTTTGTGGGATGTCATGACGAATGAGGAAGCATGCGAAGCAGCTAGAAAGCGGATTTTGTTTTGGCACAAAAAGAATGGAACTAATCCAATGGTGGAGAGAGGCCAAGGAATCGATCCTGCAGCGCAAGCAGCAGCCGAGTACCTCTCGTCACTCGCTCTTCAAAAAGGGAGCAATGATAATATTTCTGTGATTGTAGTGGACTTGAAAGCCCAAAGGAAGTTCAAGAACAAATCATGATTGACAACCACTTTGTGCTTATATAGTTGTTCTATGCATCCATCATAAGCATCTCATTAGTACATGAACAGTCCATTAATTTTACACATGGGCTACATGTATGTTTGAGAGTAGTATTTTAGCATGTAATATAGAAGCAGTTAAGTAAATGACCCATGTCCAAATTTTGGTTCATGTAAATTGAATATATATCTATATATGTTGCATAAATAGTAGAATTTTAAGCTTAAGATCCTATGTTTGTATGGAATTGTGTGTGAGCGAGTTGTGAAGAGGGGCAAAAGATCCCCGAGTTCTTGCCAGATGCTTAGGATAACACGTTAACATGATATCAAGAATGAGGTTGATCTTGTTTCAGTGCATGTTTGTTGTAGATTTTTCATCCCCGAAAAATCAATTTTTTTAATTGTTATTTTACTATTGAAGTCGTTATTTTTTACTTCTTCTCTCATAAATAAAACTTATTTTTCTCTCCTACGGTCAAAAAATCAATTCTTAAAATCACTACCTAACAAGCCTTCAATGGGGACGTGTTGATCGATTTAGTTGTAAGACAAGTTCAATGGGTACTTAATGAGTCGATCCACTTACATGTCTTGTTTTTACTGCGATGCTGAGAGTTATTTAACATAGTGCTTCATGGGGATTATACAGCAAAATCAGTCCCCAAATAAGGGAGAAAGTCTCGAACAAATCTAGGAGATTAGTTGGACTAGATAAAGCCTAAAAATAAAATAATGGGAGTGTCCACTTTTGAGTGCTGCCTCTACTTGTCGGAAAGAGTATATTTATAGCTTGCAACACTAACTTGTCACTTTATGTGGCTTACCTCGTGACAAATAAATCAACATTTCAATTAACTTTTGTTGTTGATTTGACTGTGTATTGATAAGTCCATATTATGCATTTATTTTTTGTTTCTTTACTTAATTATTTATGATAAAATGAGCAAGTATCTACTTAATTTTGTGTAAAATATGTTAATTGTAAGTAAAATCCAATTTGAATGTACTTGGATAAAATTGGCGTGAAATTGGTGAAATTGAAACATAATTAGAGTTCATTTAAAGTACTTGAAGATCAATCGGGTTGCAATTGATTGATTAGAAGTATTAATGGTGCAATCGGAGGAGAATCACAAATTTCGGGAGTTATATCCGATGTTTGAAAAGTTTGAGGGCTAAATTACAATTTTTGTAAAATTTGTACCGGATCAATGTAATGATTTTGGGATTGTAAAGACTTAAATGTGAAGATTAAAAAATGAAGGACTAAAATTGCATATAAAATGATTCCAACCGAGTTGAGGAAAAGTCCAAGGACCGAAATGCAGAAAGGAGAAAACTTGGCTTGCGTTCACAAGTCATTAAGGGCTGCAATTGTAGTCTCCTAAACAATTGAAGCAGAGCAAGTTATGCCCAAATAGTGCGATCGTACCATACGTTTTTTGGCAGGCGGAAATTCTTTCTTTGTTTGAAAGTCTTCCACTTGAAACCATTTAGGGCATGGATTTTGATACAAAATCTTGGTTCTAAAAATACTAGCTTTTGGGCAATAATTAATGGAACAGTATTATATGCACATGTCGTAAGATCATTCATTTAAATCATGATACATCAAACCTCGAGACATTCAAAATGCGATACATCGACATTTGCGATGAGAGAAAAACAAAGCGGGTTTGTGATACCAATGTGTTGCATTTTGAGTGGCCCAAGATTTGAGGAGTCATCATTTGAATAGACAATCCTACCACACATGTAGATAGGATCGTCCTTCTAAAACCTATCTCATTTTAAGGGGACCAAGCATGACTTCCATACAAGATGACAAAAAGTGATACTTACCTGCAGTAACGTATGGTGTATAAAATATTAATAAGATGTGTTAACAATATGAACTATCTTGAACCAATATAGTGAATCAATTCAAAGAGAGAGAGAGGGAAAAAAATGGTGGAGAAGAAGAAGAAATGGAGAAAACCCAATAATCTATTGAGCCACCAAAATTAGGTTTCTAATAAACTACATATATATTACAAGAAAAGTAAACAAAAAAGAAACTTATAAAAGAAGGAAACTAAATATTATAAAATAATATTATATAGAGCTAACATCCCCCTCAAACTCACTATGCTACAACAAGAAGCCGGGAGAATTTGTCGTGTAAAAAGCGAAAATGATGAACTAGACGAGACTTCATGAAAAAGTAAGCAAGTTTTAACAATGTGGAAACAAAAGGTAGAGAAATGGTGACAATCTGCAGATGATGGCAAATCAAATGACAGTCAATCTGGGAATAGATCAATACGAATGAGATCAGTTTTAGTCACGTCAAGAGTATTATTAGATATAGAAAAGAATAGAATGTGCTTAAAAAAAATATATAATTTTTTATTAGTGGAATCAACAAGACGATAACCCTTTTGTCCTTGCCCATAACCAAGAAAACGCAAATAGAAGAATGAGATATCAATTTATTATGTTCAACTTCAGGACGAAGAACAAAGCAGTACAGCTAAAGACTCTCAATGAGGGGTAATATGGAAAATGCCCATAAAATGTTTCAAATTGTGATAAACCTGAAGTGTGTGAAGATGGAATTTTTATTAATTAAAAAAACATCATTAAGAACTTCTTCTTCTCGTGCTTCTCCCCAAAATTCACTGGGAACTTTTGCAGATAAGTGAAGGGAACAAGCAATTTTTACAATGTGCCTATGTTTTCGTTTAGCAATACTATTTTGTTGTGAGGTATTAGTACATGAGGTTTGATGAATTGTGCCATCAAGAGCAAGCAATTAAGTGAAATCAGAAGAAATATACTCTCCATCCAAGTCATATCTAAAGAACGTAATTACAACAAAATGTTACGTTTTAATAAGTGTTCTAAACGAACAATAAATAGAAAGAAGTTAGAACGTTGTTTTATAAGATAAACCCAACAATAACGACTATCAACATTAATAAAAGATGCATAATATCTAGACTCTCATTTTATAGCAATAGCGAGCAGGTCCCCACAAATCACAGTGAACAAGATAAAATGATACAACATAGTGAGAAAAATGTAAAACAAAAAAAAATTAATTAATTTGCAACCACTACAATCAGAAATGTCATAAGTTTGCAAATATCCTAAATGACCCTTAAATAAAAATTTCAAACGACTAACGGAAATATGTCCAAGGCAAGAATGCCACAAATAATACTGGAAGATGATGAATTCAAAGGGAAAGATGACAAGTCAATACCAGAGGCTGCAACATATGGTGGTTTAACATATAACCCTGATTGTCTACGGCATATCCCAATCAACTTTTGAGATCGAGAATCCTACATATGACAAGCAGTAGAAAAAACTGAATTAAGTATGCAGAATCATACAATTAGCTACTAAAAATAAGATTCAAAGTAAGAGCTAGAATACAATAGACGTTTGAAAACAATAAATTATGTGTGTCAACAAAATCAACTAAGGGAAATGGTGTGCCATCAACAGTCATAACAAAAATCGATGAGTGAGAGGACGTAAGTCATTAAAGAAATTTAAGTTAGAAGACGTGTTTGAAAGCACCTGAGTCAAAGATCCATGAAGAAGAAATACCTAGGGGACTTTGAGTATGACAAACTTATATGAGTAAAGGCTAACAGAGCATGTAGTTGTTTAGCTAAGAACTTCTGAAACTGCTATGCTAAATCAATCAACACGGGACTGAAGAAAGGTGGTGCTCCAAGTATAAACGAGTCATCGAGTGGCATGGTGGCAGCCATGTTACCATTGTGACTATAGGATCGTAACTATGGTTGTAGTTGTTGGTTCTTCAATAATTTAGGACATTGAGACTTACAATGTCTCATTTGTTTGCAAAAGTTACACTCGTCACTAGCAACTTGCATATAACTTTTGTTTTGATTCTGTGTGGACAATCGAGAGTGAATAATCAACATTGAGGTGCGAAATGGAGAAAGAGATACTTCTCCTCCAAGCGATTTCAAACGTGTTTCCTCAATTACAAATTCACTAACTACCAAATCAACTGAGAGAAGTAAAGTGTGATGCAAGATAGAGTATCTAAGTCCCTTAACACCAATGCCAAGTGCCATAAAAAAGTGAACTAATCGCTACTCCTCTCTAAAAATAATATACTCCTCAAATACTTTCAGTCCTACTGATTCAGAAATGGCCAACTCATACCAAGTTGAATTCATGGTAGTGTAAAACTCAAAAATACTCATATTTTTCTATTGTAAAACTCGTATATCAATCTCCAATTGATGTCGCTTTGCAAAGTTAGAGTAAGTGTATAACTTCTAAAACTGATCCAAACTTCCTTTGCTGTTTTGAACTTCGCCGGCTATGTACCAATGGATTGTTCAACGGAAATATGAATACAAGTAAGAATTTTCACATTGTTTCTCCCAATTAACCAACTTTATCACATAATTCTAAGCATTGTTCTTTGGTTTTACAATAGTTCTATTAACATAACCCCCACAATCTTTTTCTCTTTAGAAAATTTCTCACCACTATACTCCAATACGAGTAATTTTTACAATTTAATTTGACATTAATGGATTGAAATGAATAATCTTTTTCAATTGACATTATAAAGTCAATAAATAATCAACTATGAATAAACGAAATCACCAGAAACTACAATCAAAATATATTGCACATATATGTATAACCAAAGTAATACCACCAAAAGATTATAAATTTACCAAGGAACAAACTATCTTTTTGAATCATCTCAAAAATCTCACTCCCGCGCTCTCATGTGATCAAAACGTCACTATATGTGTCCTAAGCCCATTTGTCCGATGCCACATACCTAACCAGAAGATGCGTCTCAACCTGCTGAACAAGAATTTGGTCTTAGTTTTCTCAACCGATCTCTGGTTCAATCGGAATCATGATTTTTAGTTGTAGTCGACTAAGTTTTTACACAATTTCTTCTTGCCTAGTTTCAGTTAGGATTTCTAGTGTATTACAATAAGAAGTTTCACTCGACTATAGGCTCTAATACCATGTTAACAATATAAACTACCTTGAACCAATATAGTGAATCAATTCAAAGAGAGGAAAATAAAATAGAAGAGAGAGAGAGAGAGAGAGAGAGAGAGAGAGAGAGAGAGAGAGAAACCAATAATCTATTGAGCGCCAAAATTAAGTTTTTAATGAAATACATAGGTTTATTATTATGAAAGAAATAAATAAAAAGGAAATATATAATGGAAGGAAAC